GACCGCCGCCGCCGCCCGGGCCTCCGGCCACCCGCCCTCCTGTCCATGTCGTCCTGGTCGTCGTAATCTTCTGCCCCGGGAGAAACGACGGCCGGCTCGTCCCCCTGCGCGTCCTCGGTCTTGCTCAAGTAGATGTCCAGAGTTAACACTTTGGCGGGATGGGCGCGCTCTCCCTGCCGGCTCCCTCGTCCTCCCGGCGCGTCTCGGCCGTTCACCTGTGCGGAGCCCGCGCGGTTCTCTGCGCCCTCGGCGAGCGGGTCCCCTGGCGGAGCCGACGCGTCCTCCGGGGGCGCGCCTTGGGGCTCCTCAGAGCCTTCAGCACCCGCGCGGGACACTCCGTCAGCGGCCTCGCCTAGTCCCCCCGCGGGCCGCTCCCGGGTGGACGAGCCTGGCGCACCCCCTGCACGCTGGGCTGTCTCCGGGTCCCAAGCAGCGCCGGGCGAAGCGTCCTCCCGCGGACTGCGGGCCGGCGTCCCTGCGCCCTCCCGCCTCGGGGAATTCTCCAGGGAGGAATGCAGCTGCTTGGCAGCGGTCGTGGCATCTGGGGAGGGCTCTCCCTCTGCGTCCAGAGGTTCTAATTGGCGTGAATCACCTGCATGGCACGGTTGCCCGGCCGCCGCTGCGCGGCTGCTGGCGGGGGCTGCTTGGCAGACGGCCTGCGAGCGCTCGCCCTCGGGCGCCCCGGGCTCCTCCCTCGCCAAGCCCTCCTCGCACCCGTCGGTTCGCCCCGGGAGGGGGCCCTGAGGCTCCCCNNNAGAGGCGGGTTTGGCACTGGAGCCGCTGGGGCCCTCGGTCCCGTTCCTCGCGTTCCTCTTCCTTCCCGCCGTGAACAGGTGGCCGAGTTTCCCCAAAACCGGCTTCCTTTTGTTCTCTTCGGGTGGCTGGGCTCTGGACTGAGAAAGAAAACAGAATGGGGGAGAGAAAACGTGAAAACCCGCGGGGTGTTGTTTTTTGTGTGTGTTTTTTTCCTTTTGAGTAGTAAGTACATTGTGGAATTAGAAGCCAAAAGGATAATAGACCAGACTTTCTCACTGAAATGAGATGAGTTTTGGTTACATTCATCCCAACAAAAACTCTGATTTTGCTTTTTAATTTTTTTTCTTAAACGCCCTCTATGTTTGGTGCGACTTACAGTAACGAGTACTCTATTCTTGTGTTTCAAAGGAAAATTTGGAAGGTCCAAATAAGCACATGCACAAAACAGAACATTCCCAGGTCTCTCTAGCTTTGGCTTTTTACCTCCTTCCCCCAGTAAAGACGCGAGTTCAGAACAGCCGTGCCTGACAGCAGTAAGCACAAAAAGGCATCTTAAGGCAGATTTTCCCCCCTGAATCACCGCTCTTTCGCTCTTTTTTTAGGAGGTGAGGAAGGCGAGGGAAAACAGTACGGCTGTCCTCTCCTTTAGAACAGTAAGCAGCCGCCTGGGTGCGACATCCTTCCAAAGAAACAAGAAAACGGGGAGCCGGGCGCCTGAGCCCGCGCTCGGCCAAAGCCGCAGTCGAGGCGGCGGGGCCTGCGCTCCTCCAGGGGGCGGAGCGCGCGGGCGTTCAAGCGCCCACTGATCCCCTGCCCACCGAGCGACGACTTCGGCGTTCACCCGAGAGGCTTTTCCCCGCGGGAAGTGCCCAGGAGTGTCAATAAGGAGAGTACGCGGGGAAGGAGGGCGACCGCGTGCGCATCGCCTCCGCTCGGGCCGGG